TATTCAGAGAGATCTACAATTTAAATTTGAAAATAAAAGCTCCCAGTAGATTTTGAAATACTCTACATGAAGGGAGAAGGCTGATTTTTAACCTATTCCTTTAAAATACTAAAATGCCCAATTTTCCAATTATTTTATAGGGATCAACTAACCCCAGTCAAGATGAAAAATTGCCAGTTGTAAGTCTGTATGAATTTGAAAAACTGGCAGAAAACTGGAAAATGCACATAATAGTGCAAAGAATCAACAGCTTATTCCTTCCATTTTAGATTGACACACCCTTGAGAAGCATCCTTTTCACCTCTGACAGATGTTAACATTAAGTATAAAAATAAGTTGAACCTGGAAACCTTTGAGTCACTGCATTCTAAGTACTAAACTGAGACTTTAAAATAATGACATATAATTGGCCATAACAAGTCTTGCTTTAAAAAAATGTTGCAAAGCATGAGTCAACTGCATGGCTGTCACTGAAGACATAATTACTCATTTTTACAAAGTAACACCATTATGGCAACCTGATTAAGTTTTCTGATTTATAATAAGTAGGATACACCAATATAATAAAAGCTGTGTATACTCTCTACATTTAAAAAAACAAAAACTTGAAGCATCTTTACTAGTGGCAAAGAATCAAATGTTTTGCAGCCACTGCCTTAATATTTCCTACTTCAAATGACTTAAAATTATTGTAGTAGAAAATAAGCAAAGAAGACCTTTAAAACAAACCTCAACTCATTTGTGTTTCTAATAAACTACAGGGAAGATTTTATGTACTCAAAACACTGATCTGATAGGCTAAGAATTAAGTGGATACTGAAAATGGTCGAGGCTGTTTTACAATTACCTAGATCAGTGAAGAAGGCAGCAAGAGCTGAGCAAGCTACTCCAGAGTCCTAGCTTCAGATCTGCCTTTGCTCTGCCTGTGGGGGAAACAGCAGCTTCCTACGCCGCCTGGCAACCTAAACTCATTGAGCAATCTTTTTTTCATGTTATTATTTTTATTTTATGTGTATAAGCGTTATAAGTGCCCCTGTGTCATGCAATGCCCCCCGGAGGACAGAAGAGGGGGTCGAATTCCCTGGAAAAGTAATTATCCGCTATGTGGGTGCTGGGACTCGAACCCAGGTCTTCTGCAAGAACGGCTAGTGCTCTTAACGGCTGAGCAAACTCTCCAACCCAAGAAATTCTTTTCCTCACAAACCAGCCCATGCCCTCCATGCATAGTGCTCCTGGGGCTTCTGTCATTGCCCCACATGAGACCTAACATCAGACTTACTCTTCTGCTTTAACACATCTGGAGGCAGAAAGTTCAATGAGCCAGAAATAAATTAAGAGCTGGAGTTTGCCGCACTTCAAATTTGGACGTGTGTAAGTTCCTCTATTTACAAGAGGGAAATAATAAAGTTTAGCAAAATATAGAACCCACTCTAAGCCACAATGAATGCTTCCATTTCTAATGATGTGGATATTCATAAAGATAAGACCCTACATCTTAAAATTGGGACTCATGTTTTCTCCAACACACACTAGTTTGCAGAGTGGCTCCTGGAGTCGCGGGTGATGTTGCAGCAGAAAACATGAAGTGGGCAAAAGTATGTGTGAGGTACATGGGAGTGGGGGATGCTGGGTGATTGGGGGAGCATGGGTGTATGGGAGTAAGGCAATGGTGCTTAGTACTGGGTGTGCACATGGTGCAGGTGCAAAGGACACACAGGTACATGCATGTACACCTAATGTCTATAGTTGTAATGACACAAAGTGCTTAATGTTAAATGTTCTAGTTTAAAATTCCTTACTTTAAAATACAGTGCATAGTCATCAATCGCACCTGGCAAAAGTTTAAATTTATGGAGTCAATATTGGGACAGTCCAAGTATTTGAGATCAGAAAACTGTATTGTATATTTGCTTCATAGCATTTTGAGACCTTAGAGATTTATGAAAAATATATTCTTTGAAACTACAAAGGACAAACAAGGAGATTTTTTCCTGGAAAAAATAACGTCCATCTTGCAGAAGTATTATGTTTCTCATTAACCAGAATCCCACCCAGTCAAGCAAGGACAGGAGTCAAAAAGTGGGAAATACACAAAGCTATCACCACTTTCTTTCCAGGTCCCTAAATATAAGCTTCTCCTTGTTTTCAAAGTTGCCCTGCCATACCTCCTGTGCTGGGTGTTAGCAGTTGTGTCCAAATAGATCCCACCAACTCGACATTCAGCACCACATTCCATCATCTGGACTTAACCTGCTTGATCCGCCAGTACTGCTTCCTCATTTCATGGTGGTTTTACATTTCCAGCCTGTTTTGAAAAATAGGCTCCACCTTCAACTAAAGTCAAACTTCAGTGGTAACCTTCTTAAGAGAATTCCCCAAACTGCACAAACCGTTTTCCCCTCTTTGAGTTCATCTGGAAAAGCTGAGATCTGGATCAATTTTTTCTCACTTGGATACATTTGGTCATGCGTGTACACAAATAAAATATGTGTGACAATTGTCCATGCCTTAGCTTCCAGTTTCAGAGACCTCATTGGTGTAGTCTTACCTCTGAGTTGTTAAGGTGGCATTTATGAGTTCCTGAAAACCAGCCATCACTCGAACATTGGTCAATGTCCACTTTCTGAAGATTTATATCAACTTTCATCACACCCCTAAAATTGAAAAGATAAAAGGAAAAAATTAATCTGAGCTTTTACAATTTCTAGCTCTGCTCTGCCCTGAAATCAAACAAACATAAAGAATGCCCTATTTTTTTCAAACTACCCACACATATTTAACTCAGTTGTTCTGGGTAAAGATACACAACAGGTCAAAACCAGCAAATATATTCCTTTTATCTGACTTGCCAAGATAAGGACTCTGTACTGCTCACTGTCTTTGGGCCCTCCTATAATGCCTGGCACATAATAGGTACTCTCTAAATATCTGAAGGTTGACTAAACCAGACCATATTGTTGTTGAAATAGTAGGAAACTTGACTCTGATCTGAAATAACATCTGCCCCCAAAACCCTTTCTTCACAGTGAATCTTAGCCAATCCTTCATCTCATTTCTTTCTACAGCCAGTTCCCATGCTACAGTTGGAGGTACAGAAAGGCTGGGGCAGCTGAGGGGGAGCATAGCACAAGGAGAAAAAAAAACTTCTCTTTCCACTGATCTTCTATAACCCACATCTATACAAAGATAAGAGACAGGCTGATGGGTATTTGCTGAGTGATCTGAGCGTTAATATTAGTAACTAAGATCAGAATAAAAGAGCCTGTGTTTGCCTTGGCCAGTTATCAAGGAAAATCAAGAATTTAACAAATTGCTGTCAACATGTAGCTTATGACTGTATTTGTCAGTAAATTCTCACATTGTGAAATGACACAAATATACCCTTCTGTGCTGGATAGCCTCCATTGTCAACTTGACACACCTGGGAAGAGGGGAATTTCCTCGATCAGATTGGCCTATGGGCAAGTTGTGTGAGACATTTTCTTAATTATTGAGTGGTGTCACAAGGCCCAGCCCACTGTGGGTGGTGCCACCCTGGGGCATGCGGTCCTGGGTTATATAAGAAAGCAGGCTGAGTACAGGCCAGGGGATCAGGCCTGTGAGCAGCATTCTTCCATAGTTTGTGCTTCTGTTCCTATCTCCAGTTTCCTGCTTGAGCCCTGACTTCCCTCAGTGCTGGGCTATGAGCTATAAGCCAAATAAACTCTTTCCTCCCAAAGCTGTTTTTGGTCAATGTTTTACCACAGCAGTAGAAAGAAACTAGAACACCTTTGTTTCTGACATGGTACAGAACACAGATGATAAATGATGGCTGTAATTATACCACATACTACAAAGGAGGCAGTATTATGGTGGAGAGGACCGTGTCAAGAGACGAGTAGGCCAGGATACATTTTTTTAATTGATGGCCAGAAAAAAAAACCTCACCAAGAAGCTCCAACGTTGTTTGTAGACATAATTTGAGCACTTCACAGCCAACCTTCTGCCGTTGGTCACTACATTTTAGTTTTCCTTAGTATCTTATTTAGAAAGACCTTATAAAACATAATCAAAATATTCAAGTTCAAGTTTTCAGCCCTGCTCAACACCAGCGAGAGCTCAGTGGGAAGACAGTGGGAGCTCCACAACCCAGCTCACTCAGCAACGCGGTCCCTGGTGGGGACTGATTACAGGAGGCTGCCATTATTTTGGTCCTTTTCCCTGGAGAAAACTGACTTCAGAAATAGGTATCTTAACGGTTGAGAACTTTGGCCCTTAATTTCAAGTTCATATATAGAAACCAAAAAGTCGCCACAGACTTTAAACCCAGCTATGAAGCACTTAGGTTTTGCGCAAAACCACCAGAGGTAAATGAGCCGTGCCTTCACCAGCTGGGAAACCAACGCTGACTCATCTTCATTAGGGCCTCGCCTTGGCGCCTGGAGACCTACAGACCCCTGGGGAAGGCACGGCAGACTTCCTGCGTGGAAGGTGGATGTTAAGGGGATTCAGCGAAAGGAAAATGGTCTCTTACTGGGGAACAGTATGCAGACTGAGGAAATGCAGGGACCCAAACACCTAAGACACCCCCCTCCCCATGCACTAGCTATGCAAAGCCCAGCTCCAAGCCCCGGAGCCTGTGCCCTGAGTCCCCTGAGCCAATGCCTCTGGGGCGGAACTGCTAGTCCACATCCGGTGTTCCTGTAAGCTCTGAAGGCAACTAGATAGTAGCTGTTGTTAAAAGTCTTGGAAATGGGGGGGGGGGGGGGGGGAGTCTGTTGCGCCCTGCAGAGATTAGAAAACTCGCAAATAGCAGCCCTCCCCAAATGCCTGGGTTCTCAGGTGCTCCACAGATCAATATGCTCTTCCACGTGTTGCCAGAAATAAAACAGGCCCAAAACTGCATTCTTCCGTGTTAACTCTAATATTCTTTCATCATGAATCAGCGTCTGTGTTGGATCCATCATGAAATGCCCAAAGTTGGAATCCCCACATTGTACTTGTATTTTAACGCTTCTGCCCCTTTCCACAACCACTAACTTCAGGCCCTCGTCTCTCACCAAAGTGACATTTTAAAAATAGCTGTTTGGCTGTATGGCCTTAAACATCCAAAAGGAAAGTATAACCAAAGATTAAAGGGGCCAATATAATTTTTTTTAGAGTCCATATGTTTAGCTAAAGCTACATAACAAGAAACAATGCCAGATAGGAGTACCTTCCTTTGGGTTATTGGCCAGGGTGGCCCAAGAGACTCCTAGGTAGTAACCCAGCATAAAACTGGGAAAATGAACAGCAGACCCCAATCTTATCTAAAGGAATATTGACAACTGATTGCTGCTAGATGAGGAAAAGCTGACCTTCCTAAAACAAAGACCTCTAGATAGGCTGACTAGATTCACCAGATGGACAAGTACTAGGGAACAGCTGGGGGTGCCGACAACACTGCAGACAGTAGCAGGAAAGACAGAGTAAAAGGGCTCTAGTGGGGGCAGGGAGGCTATGGGAGGGTGCCATCTGGGAAGTGGGTATATAGATGAATAAGATTGTTTGGGATATTCTGTGTGAAATACACACAAAAAATCAACAAGTTAAAAAATGAGTTATAATTGAGGAGGAAGCATAAAAATATATGTCATGTGAAGTAGTAAAGGCGATAAACATTACCATTGAAATCTACCCAATGACTTTATATCTGTACTCAGGTGCCAAGGATCCAAGTACAACCGATTATGACTAGTGATTATCAGATACATACAAATCAGAGATTCAAGCACCAACATCTCAGTGTTAGTAGCAAAAGAAATGAGTCTTTCTGCAAGCTGTATGAAACAGTGTATTTCAAAAAGAAATGGAGATCTTTTTTAAGGGTAAAAAGCTCATTCAATTTTACATCTTACAGGATTTATACTGAGTTCAATATTGTACAACTGTATTAATTCAACTATGAACCTAAAAATTTTATAGGTGCTTTTGAAAGAGATGTATCTTTGATCTGGAAATTGTTATTGAGTATGTTAAAGCTGTAATGAAATGCTTCTTCTAAAAAATAAAAAAATATACATTAAAAAAAAAAATAGCTGTTTGGTTCTGCCTGGTTTTGCTCCAGGAAAAGATACTTGCAAAGTTTATAAAGCTCAAGAGACTTTTTTCAGCAGCAAATACAAAACCATTAATACCCATTCATATTAGTGCAACCTTTGCCCTGACAGGTTCCTGTTATAGCTGTATGATAGGTGGGGCTGGAGACATGGCTCAGGAATTAAGAGCACTGGCTGCTCTTGCAGAGGACCCAGTTTCCATTCCCAGCACCCACACAGCGGCTAACAAAGGCCTGTAACTCCAGTTCCAGGAATCCTACCCTCTCTTCTGACCTCTGTGGGCATTGCACAACATGGGTACACTATATGCATGCAGGCAATACACTCATACACATTAAAATAAAATTAAAATAAATAACTATATGATGGGTGCACACCACCCACAGTGAGAGTATTACCAGATGTCAATTCAGTCCCTAAGTGTCTAGGAATAACTTAGCTATACCCAATAGTAACTGAAAATGACCTTAATGTATATCAATAAGCCCAGTCTAAATAGTCCTACATTTCCTCTTGGCTGGTTGCAAAGATGCCCACAGCTTAGTAAATGGAGACACATTACAATAGAATAAAACTCTTACAGTCAAACTGTAAATTAAATTAAATTGATTGTGAAATTAAAAGTTACAAATTTTACAAAGGCAGTTGACCACAAACCTCATTCTTTGTGTCTATCTGGACTTCAGAAAGTGCCCACACAAGCAAGGGCCGTAAAGCTGAAGTAGCATAACTAAAGCTTACTGCTGTTTGGATCAGATTTACATGTTTTAAAGATTTTGCAAACACTTCCATAGTCAAACCAATATTTTCACTCTCATAGGGCATAGAATACAAATTTCTTGGAATAGCATTACAATTAGGCACGTCCTTCTAACTTTTAATCACTCATGTATACATTTTTTAGTAGACAATCCGGAATTACATTTGGGGCCCAAGAAAATTCTTACTGTTTCACAAAACCTTGCCTTTATAAATACTGGGATTAAGCCCAGGGCCTCCCATATGCTAAGAAAGTACTATACAACCGAACTACATCCCAAGCTCTGCTGCTTTGTCTTAAGCATCCCCCTCCCCAGCATCTAAGTCAATCAGAACCCCAAATTAACTTTGGGGAAAGCACTAATGTTAAAGAAAAGCAGCCAGGTGTGGTGGCTCACACCTTTAATCCCAGCACTCAGGAGGCAGAAACAGGAGGATCTCTGTGAGGCTGAGGCTAGCCTGGTCTACATAGTGAATTCCAGGCCTAGTGGAGCCACAGAAAGACCCTGTCTCAAAAAGACAAAAAAAAGACAGAAAGAAAGAAAGAAAGAAAGAAGGCAGCCCTCAGCCCTGCAACCAAGAGGGTCAACAGGCTCAGTGAGAGTAAACCCACCCTGGAATTATGGACTCTCCCTGTAACATATAACCTTAAGCCTTCAATGACCCTAGTAGTACAGGGAATTGTTATAAAGTGGGGAAGGGAAGGGAAGGGAAGGGAAGGGAAGGGAAGGGAAGGGAAGGAGAGCTCTAGCAATATGCAACTGCCATGAGCACCCAAATGAAAGAATAGAAAGACTGGATAGATGAAGAAAAGCTTC